CACAGGCTCCCGTGGTGTTGTGGGCGAGGAGCAGGGTAACTCGGCCATCAACAGAAGCAGCACTAAATGCCGGCTCCAATTGAGGCCTTCTTTGCCTCTCACTGGATCGACAAACCTGATCATGAGTGTCACTTCTGGTGATCAGAGTCATTTGGGCAATGTGTGCCTCCAAATGAGCAGCATGGAATAGTTAGAGAGGAAACGGTTTGCTCTGAAGCAGCACGGGAAGGGAAGAGGTGAGTGAGTGCTGAAACCCAACGGGCCAGGAACTGGGCTTGGTGCAGTGAGGGGACAGCTCCCTAGGGCCCCATTATGCCTCTCACGTAAACATTGAAAGACAAAGAAAGCATCCATATCCATCAGGGTGCTTTGGAAATAAACTCTCCTCCTTGACCTGATCTCTTCACAGCCTGCCCGCTAACCAATGGACTCACCTATGGCAGACGAGACGGCAACTCTTTTTAAAATACCTCTCATTGGCCTAGCAAATGCTAGCTATTTTTATATGCATGATCTCAAATCCTCCTAAGGACCCCACAAATGAAGAAAGGGACTTGGATCAAAACAGTGAGATTTCTCAGGATCATGACATCGCTAACGGGGCTAGGTTTCAGAGGTGGTATGGGGGACTTTCAGTGTTAAACCAAAAACTCTAAGCCCAGGGCTGTCAAGTCGATTCCAAATCCTAGCGACCCCGTGGCAGGGAGGGTGTGTGTGTGTTCTGATGCTGTAGAGATCTTGATGAGTGCAAACAGCCTCATTTTGCTCCCAAGGGGCAGCTGGTAGGTTTGAACCCCCAACCTTGCCATTTGCAGCCCAATGCTCTCTACCAAGTTAGGCTACAAAAACACGTTCTCCGGGAATGCAGAAGGAGACTGTCAAGGCTTCAGAATAACCCCCATCAGAGGACTCTCTGCATCTGCCGGTGACTCCTGCATTTCTATCCTCCACATGCCTTTGACTCAACCATAGAGACTGCATCAACCCCCCCAGGTGTCCATTCTGATGCATTCCAGCCCAGCAGGGACACACAGCCGACCCTTTGCTTTTTCGGAGAAAGCATGAGGCAGAGCACACGCAGGGCCACAGTCTATGGGCCAAACCATGCCAAGAATTGCCTGGCAGTTTCCTCTCTGCTCCTCCTCGGGTACACAGTGCTGATGCGCCCCAGAGAGGGGCACAGGAAGGCTGTGACCAGCTGCCAACCTCTGCTCAGATGCACACCGTGTCCCAGGCCTTTGCTCACATTGGGGTAGCTGAGACGAATAAGCCAGGGCCCCGGTTCTCAGGGAACTCTTTCTGGTTGGCGCTGAAGACACATCAGTGTGACAACACAATGCTCTCGCTGACATAGGAGCAAGGGCCATGAGCATGCAAAGAAGGCACGGTTACTGAGCCTGGCAATCAAGGCAGGCTTCCCAAGAGAAGTGACACCTGGGCTGGCCTTCCATGAACTTGCTCAAGGAAGAAAGAGATGCTATTCCCAATCCAAGATGATGTGAGCGTGTCTTAGTTTCCTGGGGCTGCCTTAACAAAATACCACGAATAAGACAGCTTTTCCAACCAACCCAACTCACTGCCATCAAGCCACCGTGCGGCTCCACTGTGAGCCGCTTCGCCACGTTGGGCTACTGGCCTCCACTACACCTCCCCGCTACATCTTCCTGTTGCCTCCTTGACCTTGCGCTAGTGGCCATGTGAGCTGGAAAGGGCGTCGTTATACACTGTCCCAGGAAAATGAGTTAGACTGAGCTCTCTGTACTGCTGTGTGGACTAATCTGCTGTTATATTCCTTCTCACCATATAAACCTATCCTTTTCCATATATATAGAATCCTAAGTGTCCTGCTCTTGCTTCTGTATCAAACCCTGCCTAACACAACCCTTCGTCCTCATTCACTCAGGCACCCCCACTCAGGGTCGGCTTTCTCTGTACTCCTCCACACGCACTGCGAGCAGGTCCATGCCGACCCATGGCGATCCCGAAGGACAGAGCGGCACTGGCCCTGTGTCTTCAAAACCGCACCTTCGCTGGAAGAGAACGTCTCATCTTTCTCCTGTGGAGCCGCTGGTGGTTTCGAACTGCTATCCTTGCCGTGATGAGCCCAACGCTTAACCCATTGTGCTACCAGGGCTACTTCATTCTGACTCATATTTTGAGTGACTTCTGACGTGCAAGGCTCATCTTCTGGGGCTACCTCTGCTGCTTTTCATGAGCTGCTCCGTATCTGACAGTGTTCTGATTCTGTCCATAAAGTTTTCCGTGGCGAATTCCGCAGAAGTAGACAGCCGTTACCTTCCTCAGCCGATACCTTCTTAGTCTGGAAGCTCCGCTGAAACCTGTTCACTTTGGGCGACCCTGCTGGCCCTGGAAATACCAGGGACATAGCTTCCAGCATCCCAGCAACACACAAGTCACCACACTGTAACAAACTGACAGTCAAGGGATGACCCAGAGACCATATAGGGCCGGGTAAAATTGTCCCTGTGTGTTTTCAAGACTGTAAAACTTCACAGGAGTAGAAAGCCTCGTCTTTCTCCTATGGAGCAGCTCATGGTCTCCAACTGCTGGCCGTGCGGTTAACAGCCCAGCGTGTGACCCACTCCACCCCCGGAGCTCCTCTGTAGGGCTTACTTTAAGAGCAGAACCAGTTTTCTTCTTCCAGGGTTATAAGGGGGAGAAAAAAATAAACAACCAAAGCTTAGGCATCACAACCTTTCCCCTGGGACACAGGAACCCAGAGACTCACACAGGGACAACCAGGTCCTGTCACTGTCTGGGCCCTTCACACCTGGTGGAAAGCTGGGGAAAGGCTCCTAGCAGATTTGATGATGAAATGAGATGTCAGTGCAGGTAGAGTTGGAGGTGCCCGCAGGCTTCGAGGTCACGATTTGGAGATGAGATACAGGCAAGGCACCACCATGCCACAGCTACATCTTTTCCAAACATTCTCCTTAAAATTCAGTCCTGGCCACCACAGAGAACTGACAGCGATCAGGATTTATTCTTGTAGTGACATTCTCTACAAGTGCATTAAAAATAGATTCTAGATGGAAATGATGAATAAAGATGCCTGCTCTTTAAGATGGATCAACGTAACCCTTCGTATCGGCCACAAATCTTCAGTGATCGCTTTCTTCCAGATGTCCTTCCCTGGGTTCCCTCCAACCCTCCCCTCGGACTGCAAGAGCCTAAGCCTCGACTTAACCCAAGTGTGAGAGGAGACTCTCGTGCTAGTGACTCGAAATGAAGATGAGTTAAATCACCATTTGGGGGTGGGGGTGGGCCTGACCTGTATAAGGAGTCCTAGTAGCAATGTGGGGTTGGCATTAGGCTGCTAACTGCAAGGTTGGAAGTTCAAACCCACCAGCAGCTCTGGGGGTGGGGTGGGGGGAGAGATGAGGAGGTCCATCATTGTAATCGGTCACCCCTTTCTCCCCCCACCTTCCCTTTCCCCTCCTGGTATTGCTACTCTCAATATTGGTCCTGAGGGG